TGGACGACGATCACGCTGTGGATAACAACGCTCTAAATCATCATCCTCTACTGATAATGTCTTATCAGGTAAAACAAATGGTTCAGTACCTACAAACTCATTAGGACTAACAACAAGTGTATCAATATGCTCAACAAACTGAAAAATATTACCTGCATCGCCTGAGATAGAGGGGACATCAGCAGGGAAATGAGAGTGAGGGCGACGAACATAAGCCTGTAAAGGAAGAGAGGCCGGTGACTCTGTACCAGGGATGAGTGGCTCTGGAGGAGGAGAGACCGACGACTCTGTAGTGATAGTGACCAATGGCTCTGGCTTCGGGGGTAATAGAAAATCAAAGGAAGTATCATCAACTGGAGGGGCAGACACATGACTAGAAGAAAAATAAGGAATATGCTCAAGAAAGGTAACATCTAGACTGTGATACATACGACATTTAACAGGATCATAACACCGATACCCCTTAGACTGATGACAATAGCCCACAAAGACACAACGAATTACTTTATCATCAAGCTTATAACAAGTAGGAGATCGATCTTGAACAAAACATGTGCATTCAAAAACACGAGGGGGCATCGAAAAAAGTGTTCGCTCAGGAAATAAAACTTGTAAGAGAGCCTATGCTGAAGAACACGACTCGGCGTACGATTGCACAGAAAAGTAGAAGTCAAAATAGCAAAATATCAATAAGATTTTGGCACTCCATGCCTCTAAGCATACAACATACCATCCCTATCAGACTCCTACTTTTCCTTTCAGCAACGCTATTTTGATCAGGATTATATAAACAAGTGAGTTGCTGAATGATATCCTGAAAAGAAATGTGAGAGACTAAGGCATCAGACACGTATTTTTTGGCATTATCTGAACGAAGAGCACGAACAATGACATTAAATTATGTCTTAATCATCTGTAGAAGCTGAGTGATTATAGGGAGTACATCAGACTTCCTATGCAAAAGGTAGACCCAAGTACAACAGGTATGGTCATCTATATATGTCACATAGTATCGGACACTTGATAGAGCAGTAACAAGAGAGGGTCCCTAAATATCAGAGTGTATTAGGTCAAATGGCTTGGGTGACTAGTGCTTGCGAGGAATATAATTGGTCCTAACATGTTTTGATAGGGAACATATAACACAGCCAAGTTTACCACCAACACAAGCATTGCTCAAAGCAGAAAACAATATGCATAAATATTTAAAATTTGTATGTCCAAAATGATCATACCACAACTGAATAGTTTGTGACGAAAAATCATAACAACAATTACTATGTAAAATACTAGCATGCAAGCTAAGAACAGATAAAGACAAAGCAGGTGTAGGTGATGTAGGTGGAGGAACTGATAAAATCGGAGGCGGATCGCCTAGATAATACAAACCATCTCTTTCATGTCTCCTGATAATAATTCTCTTGGTACTCAGGTCCTACAAATAACACAAATTAGATAAGAACACAACCGCATAATGAAAATCTCTAGCTAACTGATGTACAAATAATAAATTCATAGCTAATTTTGGCGCATGAAAAATCGAATGTAATTAAAGTCATCTGGGAGGCGAACTGTGCCCCTATTAACAATAAGGGCATGTGTCCCATCTGCTAACTGAATCTGTGTATGTAACTGTTCATCAAAACTGGTGAAATGATGGGCCTCACCTGTCATGTGACCATTCGCACCCGAGTCCAGCATCCAAAGGGGAGACAGACTGGCACAAGCATGATAGGCACGAGATATACCTATAGTGGTGGCAGCAGCAATAGTAAGTCTGAGCGGACATAAGTATATCCAATCGGGAAGTGATAGCATCCATATCACTCTATCAAGGAGAAGCAGTAGTAGGAGTAGCGTTAGTAAGTGGTGGTACCTCAGCAATAACAGCAGTACGGCCGCGAGGAGGCGGCTTAAGCTCTGGATAGAGCTTCCAGCATGTAGCTCTGAGATGTCTTGGTTGGCCACAATAATCACACTGACGAGAAACCTCTGTTTGCGCTGATCTAGGATACCTTGACGGCGCTGGACCGAGCGCTGCCCACCCCTAACTGAGGATCCTGAACGAGACCCTGCAACAGCTGCAAGGGTCATATGATTAGTCGGAGGAGTCAAGGCTGCAACTGGAAGTGATGCAATACAGACGCGGTGCTCATGCTGCTGAATCATCGCATACACCTCATAAAGAGAAGGAAGCATCAACATCAACAAGATCTGGAAACAAAGTCCCTCAAACTCATCACGAAACCCCATAAGAAACTTGTAAATCCTATCCTCCTGCTCTCGAGTATGCAAGAATGTTGCTCCCTCAGGCTCTATCCTTGGAATAGCAGCAAGAAGACGTAAAGTCTCATACTCAAGCCAGCGCTGGGTCAAATAGTCATAATAATTCTGATCAGTCATATCTCCCTGGCGAGCATATGAGAGCTCCTGAGAAAGCTCATAAACACGTACTCTCCGTCCTGACTAGAAATACATCTCTAATAATGCACTCCATAGTTTCAGAACAGAGCTATGAAACTGGTGAATCTTGTAAACAGGTAGCTCCATCGAGCCAAATAACCATCCAAGAATGGCGCAGTTCTGAGAGAACCATGCAGAATATCCAGGGTCGGCATCAGCTGGCTTTGGGTGAGATCCCGTCAGCCAACCAAGCTTCCCTACACGGCCTAAGAAAAATTGGAATGAGCATGACCACTCAACGAAGTTACGGCCATTCAACAACTGCGCCGTAACTTTCTGAGGGGTTATGTCCGGTAGCGCTGGTAATGCAACTGTGCTAGTAGGTACTATATACTGGTCAAACATAAAAGTAAAAGTACCAATAGATGTCCCAACGGTACAGATGCCAATAGTAGGGGTCTCAAGTCCCTCAGATGTAGTCATATCAACAACAATATGAGGGCACCCGCGACAGAAAAACAACTCTAAAATAAATAGAGGGATAAAATAAGGGAGAACAATATACTTCTAGTCGAACAGTAACGATAGATAAAGAAGGTCCAGAAAGCTCCCAAATAATCAGATCACGGTGCCCAAAAATTCAATAAATATAAATAAATGATCTACTGCCTCAAGAGCATATCAACGGAGAAGAAGATTCAACCCTTCTTAAAAGGTCCAACGGTCCCAAATAATTAGACGCACGAAGACAAAACACGATGCTGTGACAAAGAGTGTGACCCAACCGTGGGCTTGGACAGTGTGTTTGGGTGCTGGTCTGAGTTTGAGTTATTGATTTAATATGATTGTCTCGGTTTATGGGTTTGGTATGGACTTTAAAAGTGGGTTGGACAATAAAAGTGGTCCACTGTGGGTTTGTCTGGCTTTGTCATTTTGCTTGGGTGCAGGTTGGTTTTTGATTTGTTGCAAGTTGGACTGCTGAAGGTGCTTGGGTGGTGTTGTGATCAGTCGGTGATCTGGTTCTTGACGTCGCTGGAAGGCTGGTTTGCTGGGATAGGCGCTGGGGTTTGGTTAGGCCTGACATCGCTGGTGTTGCTGTTTGATGAGGAAGGCTGGTTTGCTGTGTATTTTTGTCAGTAGAGAGGGCTATCTGGTTTGTCGGTGGTCTTGGGTAGGCTGAGTTTGATGGTGTATGGTGGATGGGCAGTCGGTTTTAGTATGCTGGACGGTGTATGTGTTATGGGCAGAATGTTGTTCACTGGTTTGATGTGTTTCGGTGCTGCTGGGGTTGCAGTCGGTGTTGCTGGTTTTATTGTTTGATGGTTTTAATGGTGTCGAAGGGTATTGGTTTGGGGTTTTGTTGCTGGGTAGTGGCGGATTGATATCGGCACTGGGCTGCAACGTGGAGGAGGGCCTGGTGGCTGTCGGTGCTTTGGTGATTGATGATGAGGTTAGGGTTAGGGTATGGCTTTGATACCAACTTGGAATAAAGGTAAGTGAAAAAGAGATACAAACTAAGTGTAGAACCCCGTATATATAGCCAATGAAAGTTACAATAAGGATAAAAAGGTAAAAAGAGAAAACTTAATAAGCCCTAATAAACTAGGCAGTAATAAGTCCTAATAAATTAGGCTACTGCTATATCTCCAACACTGATACAACACCCCGTTTCTCTAATTTTTTAAGTTGGAACATTTGGTGCTGGACTGTGATTGTTTTTCCTTATTTTATTTTTCTTTATGGTTGTTTCAGGGTTCTAGTGACAACTCATCATATATCAGTTCAGAAACTGGAACTCTGGTATTTTATATTCAAAGAAAATTTACTATAATATACCTGAAGTATGATATATCAAAGGATATTTGTATTTAAACCACTTTAATCTTTATTCATATTTACTCATTTTGCAGTTTGTATTCTTCACTGGTGGAATCGTATTCCTAACACTTATCGTAAATGGGTCAACCACACAGTTTGTTTTACATACTCTGGGCATGGATAAGCTATCAGCAGCTAAGGTAAGGAGCAATTTTGGGAATATTCTATGAAATCTGGGGAACTAATGCAAACCATTGATGTAATGCTTTGAAGACATAAAATGGGACCAAGTTTAAGAAGACAATAAAATTCAAGAAAAACAATCGAATTAAACTTCCACGCTCCTTAACAATTTATTTTCTTTTCCATTTATCTTTTCTCTTCTCTTTTCCTTTTTCGTTCTTGTCAATTAACCAAATCATACATGTTAAGAAAGCTTGTATTCCATATCAAATAATTAGGGCCGCTAACGTTGGTTTATGTTAGAGTTCTTAATTTTTGTATATTAGACATAAAGTTAATTAATGTAGGGTAATATTGTAATTACTCTAATATTACATAGTTATGGATAAGAGAGTGTAGGGCAACCAGAATATGGATAAAAGTATTTTCCTCTGTTCTTCCTTTGACAGTTCCAAACTGAGCCCTTTTTCTGGTTTTTGTTTATATTCTGTGTTAGCAATTTGTGTATGTAGGATTGTTTTTTTTAATTAATGTTTTGTCTTTGCTTTTGTTCTGATTTGTTACAGAGGCGTATATTGGCTTATACAAAATATAAAATGTTGAACAAAGCCCTGGAGGCGTTTGGTGATCTTGGAGATGACGCGGAACTAGGACCTGCTGATTGGCCTACTGTTAAAAGATATATTACAATCTTGAATGATGTGGAAGAGGAACGCGTGCACCCTCATGCTGTATCCGAGAGTGATGATAATTTACACCATATGAATTTGAAAGATACACGCATTCGCTTTTTAAATGGTAAGAATTGTTATTTTTTGGGGGTTACGCAGTTCAATATCCAATTATAATTGTGCTTATCTTTTATTCAGTGTACTTTCTTGCCTAGATTGATTAGCTCTTATTTAGGGGCTCTATTGCTTGCTGCACCTCCTCATGCAAGAAAGTTGATCTTGCTGTTTTACTGATTTTCACATTCCGTCTGTTTTATTCTGTTATTCTTGAGCAAAGCTTCTGTCAACAAATTTCTGAACGTATATAATATAATTGTGGCGATTTTTAAACCCAACTGTTGAGTAGTCAGTCATTCAACGTGGCATAATGTTCTTGATTCATGTGCTAGATCATGCATAAGGACCAATGCATAAGAATTTGGGTGTCCTAATCTGCATAACACCCACTGCCCCCCTTTTTCCAAGGTGCTTTTCTATTCTGTCTTTCTCTCCTTTTCATTTTTACCTATTTCAGTGGAAGTACAATCACAAAACTGAGGAAAAAGCAGTGCTGAAGGTATATTTATAACACAAAGTGAATGACCAAGTGAAAAAGAGAGCAAATGAAAGCCAAACAACTATAATGAAATTGAAAATTTTGCAGTTCCGATAGTGAAGTTCATGCTGGTCCTATGACCAGAACCCAGATACAATGCTTTTGCATGAGATATATTCTAAACTTTGATCAGAAAGTTTGAGAGATTGATGTCTAACTTTAAAGGTAGTCTCATCCTTTCCATCCATAAAAATTTTCCCGATGATTGTTGAGTTCATTAATCTCACAAAGTCTCATCTTCAGACTTGGGTTGATTCAAATCTTGTTCTAAGGTGGAAATCTTCCCCGTGATCCAAATTGGAATGATAAATTTGACAGTTTCCCAAAGTAGCAGGCAAATAAACTTTTGACAAAAATGTAAACAAACTATTCCAACTAACAGTGGCAGCGTACATCAGCTATTGTTAGAAAGGTGAATCTCCTTCCAATCTAAGCAAAGCACCTGAAACTGCTTTTCGGATGTGAACATGCTGCCTTCATGCATGAAATGCAGTGGAGAGGAAAGTTAATGTTTCGGTAAGGGTGACTCCTCAATCCCCAAGCTTGCAACACTTAAAAAGTACTGGATGGGGTGGAGCTTGGCTTACTTTTACATCAACTTAAGGTTTTCAGATGTGGGAACTGACATTGTAATGCTTTTTCTCCTTTATTTTTTATGGGATTTGGGAGATTGGGCTGTGAGGGGTCTAATTGACCAGTTGTGCTGCATTTGGTTGTTATGGATAAGAAGGCAGAGATTATTGGGCTCCAAGAAACTAAGTTAGAGGCTATCTCTAGTGAGGTGGTAGGAGCTTGTCGGTTAACTAACAGGTGGATTGGATGTATAGATGAATAGATTTTTTTTAGTTGTATTCTTGTGACATGTACCAGAAGGTTGATTTATACATTTGCGGGGCCTCCGTGCCAATTGCCAATTTATTTTGGTTTGGATGCATGCTTTAACATAGTATCTTAGTTGGGTCTTGAGTGCTAAGAAGTACGACCACTCTCAAGAAGGTGGTTTCCTTGTCGGACTATAAAGTACGGACAGCCTCAAGAAAGTGATATATTCGTGTAAAACACCGACACTCCTCAGACACTCTTAAACATGTGTCCGATATTCTTTTATTCATGTCTATTATTTAAATAATAAAAATTTAATTTTGGACACGTGTTTGACATTTCTTTGATGACGTGTCTGATACTTTTTTAGGTCATATCTATTATTAAACAATAAGTATGTGTTGAGATGTGATTAACAAAGTTTAAAAATTTTACTAATATGTATTTTATATTATGAGAAAACATATAAGTACCAAGACTAGATACATTGAGGCTGTACTCAAAATATAATAAGAAAAAAAAAAGGATGCATAGAAGTTTTAAAAGAGAGCAATTGAGAAGATGAAAGTAATGATTTAAATTATATATGTTGGGTACACGTTGTCCACAAACAAAATTGACAATTATTGACTATTATGATGCTTTGGTCCAAAAATTCACATTACATAATGGACATAACATTTACCTACCATAAAGTACTAAGTTTTTTTTATGAAGAATGTATCACTATCACTATATTTATAATAAATTATATAGTTTTATATAGAAAACACAATAATCTATAGATTGTTCCTAATTTATCCGTGCCCTACTTTTTTGAAAAATATTATATCCATGTCATAACGTATCTGTGTCCCGTGTCCTTATTTCTTAGGTGTCAATTACATATCAAACACTAACACTTCTCAGACACTCTTGAACATGTGTCAGACACCAACACTTCTAGGACACTCTCGGACACGTTTTACTCTTATAGCCGTGTCCATAATTAAAAGTTAAATTTTTACACATGTTGGACTCTTCCTTGGTGCATATGTTCGTCACCTCTAAGGCCGTGTTGGCATAAAATAAACAAATCTTGAAAATTTCCTAACTGCTACCTTACATCCGGTGAAAGACTATAATTTTTAGGACTAATTAAGTTAGAAATTTAGTCAAACTTAACTAATAAAAACATAAGATACATAAAAATTTTACTAAATAATTGGACTTGGAGAGATGAGAGCTATCATTGTAATTTTGCATGTTTGCTATACTTTGTCTATTAACAAGTAGATGATTGTATACTAATATGATCCATTAGTTTGAAATTTCACATCGAAGGACTAGGCATTAGATTTCTTATCATAAAGTACTAATTGGTTTATGTTGTAAAATACTATAATCATACTATATAGAGATAGTTTATATCAGTTGATACATAAAGCACAACTACTTGTAGCGTGTCCGCATCCTACGTTTTTTGAGAAAACAAGTACTAATTGGTTTATGTTGTGAAATACTACAATCATACTATATAGTGATAGTTTATATCAGTTGATACATAAAACGTAACTATTTGTATCATCTCCCTAATGTGTCCTCATCCTACTTTTTTTGAGAAATGACGTGTCTACGTGTTTGTGTCATGTCATATCCCTTTCCACTTTTTGCATCTGTTCTTCTTAGCTTGGGTGATTAGTGGGCCAAGCTCTTACCCTTTTGCATTTCTAGGTATGCATGCTTGTCTATGGTTTTCTTTGCACCACGTGCAAACTCGGGCCCCACATGAGAGAGGGTGTAAAGAGAGTTTGTGTCCATCATCGAATGATTAAGTTCACCCCAGGTTGATGTACATGTTTGAGGGGTCTTTCACTCATTGCCAGTTGGTTTGGATTGGCCGTGCATGTGGTAACAGAAAGAATATAGGTGGTGGAGGGTGTTATATTCAGTTCTTTGCCTACTTTAAAAGGTTAAGATCTCCATTTCATTCCTTGGAGATAGAGTTGTCATTGTGCATGCTATCCCTAGGTATGCTTTTAGATTAGTAATCCCTAGAGGAATCCTGTTTCTAGCTTTTGCATATACACATGTTCACAGAAACCTTTTACCAGCATGTTAGATAGTTCGTGAGCTTTCACCTGTATCACTTTCCTATACACAAGTATAACTGCAGGTGCGATAAGGCGTATGCCCCTATCAATTTACTTAGAAGATGCTGGATGTTTAAGGTTAAATTAACCATTAATGTATCTCTTTATTTATTCTCCAGATAGAACATGGCCTTTTCAATTTTAGGAATTAGTTACTTTAAAGTACATTTGATATGATCTATTTTGGCACATGATTTTTCGGTTTCTACATATTTTTATCATAATCAGGGGCCGCTGGTTCAGTGGTTAAAATTTGGCCTGACAACTTTGATGCTGTGAGTTTGAAATTGAGGGCAACCACTATGTGAAAAGTAATGCCAAATGTTAGGTCTGTAATTTATCCATCCTTGACCCTCATTAATGCAGACAAAACTTGGTCTTGCGAATGAAAGCCAAGCCCCTCCTATGGGACACAATAGAGGATGCCAAAGATGAGGTGCGCTCTCATGCTGTCGCCACAATGAAACGTACCCTTTTATTTAAGAATGAAGCTACATAATACTCTAAAGGCGTTGACGTCAGCATCGACAACTTATAACAATCCTCCTACCAAGCAGTCTCATCTGAAGCTTGGATATAACCAAAGTCTTCTTGGCCCCTTGCATAATATTTTTCAGAGAAGCCCATTCCCTCACAATAATGCCTACAAAGCTTTTCTAGTAGTAGAACAAGAGCTTTACTATTTTGCTATTGTAGCCATTTTCTTTCGGGGTTGTTCTCTTCCAAAACCTCTGGCTTGGCCGACCTATATTGAGCCGAGGGGCTGTTGGCACTAATCCCTTGCCTTGGCCTCTCAATAAAAGAAGTTTCCATTGTGCTTTTCCTTTTTGTTTCAAATTTATTGAGTATTTCATTACCTGCTAAAAATCATGAGCACTGATACTTGTTACGTTAGTTCTACATTACAGTGGGCTGGAAAAAATTCAATGTTTTAGATTTCAGGCTTATCATTTTTATTTAGGGTATACAACTAAATTCGTGAACATATTAAATCAACTTGATGTTTAATGTGAAATAGTTGTCTGGTGTAAAGCTCAACTGAGAGTAGATTTTACTGCTAATTTTTGCAAATGTCTCATTTTAGGTGTTCAAGCTGCTTATTGGGGGATGCTTGATGAGGGACAGATCACACAAACTACAGCAAATCTTTTAATGCAATCTGTGGATGAAGCAATTGACTTGATATCTCATGAGCCTTTGTGTGATTGGAAAGGTTTAAAAGCTAATGTTCATATCCCAGGCTATTATAAAGTTCTTCAAAGTGTTATCCCCCGAAAGCTCGTTACATACTTCACTGTCGAAAGATTGAAATCGGCATGTTCTATGTGTGCTGCGTTTCTTCATGCACATAGAGTTGCACGGCGGCAACTAAATGACTTTATTGGTAAGGGTTCCTTTCAATTTGATGTCTTTAATTATCTGGAAATACACATTCTTGGTGAACAAATATATTTCTACTTCTCAATATTTTTCTGAATTAGGCACATCCATCACATTTTTAATGGATAAATGCAGTCATTTCCATGGTAGAGTTTCAGGATATGTAATGAGGGACCTAGGTTGCAGATACATTTTGTGTAAATAGGAAACTATGCCAGGCACTTGTGGCTATGATAAACTATATACCAAGGATCAAAATTACATCTTGTGAAACCTTTCGGTGGAAAAGAATGTTCTTCTTTCTTTTAGATTGATTCCTTATGCTCAGTCTGGCACCCCGGATCATTAAGGTTTCCTTGGGGTGATTGTAGTGTCTAGGTGGTAGAGAACATTGTTATCAAAATCGTATGATTCGCAATTCGACTCGTACGATTTGATTTAGTCTCCATTTGATTCATATTTTATTATAGAATTGTTTTTGGCTAAAAGTCGCACTTGAATCGAGAATTATACGATTCGATTTGAATCAAACAAATCGCACGATTCTTTTTATTTATTTTGTTAACCCCATTAAGTTGAGAGAATTAGAGATAAAGGGAATGGTTAAAACTTAATTTAACTCTCACAAACCACTTGTATTTATAGTTAACCAGTAATAATACAAAAGACGTATATACCGTATAATATTTACACTTAATACCCTAACACTCTTAACACTCCCCCTCAAGCTAGACTATATATATCATATAATTCAAGTTTGGAACAAATTGTTGTAAGACGTGTACGACTCAATGCTTTGATAAACATACCTGCAAGCTAATCTTCAGATTTCACAAATGGAGTCGTAATCTCCCCACCTACTATCTTGTCTCGAATAAAATGACAATCAACTTCAATATGTTTAGTTCTCTTGTGAAACACTGGATTGGCTGGGATATGGATAGCTGTCTGCGCCTAGTTATCACAGAACAACTATAAAGGAGGTTGCACTGGAAATCTAATTTTTTGGAGAAAGTATTGTAACCACGTCAACTCACTCGTTGTATGCATCATTGCCCTATACTCAATCTCAGCACTAGATCTCGTTACCATGGATTGTTTCTTACTGTTCCATTAGATAACGTTACCTGCTAAAAAAGTACAATAACCAGTTGTTGATCTCCAATCTGAAGGAGAGTCAGCCCAATCAGCATTTGAGAATCCTTCTACTCTAAGTTATCCATTAGCTCGATATAACAGTACAAGGCCCAGAACACGTTTAAGGTATCGCAGAATACGAGTAAGTGCATTTTAATGTGGTACTCTATTATACCCTATAAACTGACTTACTATACTAACTACATAGGAATATCCGGTCAGGTTATAGTGAAATAATTAAGCTTCTCAACCAACCTGCTATACTGACCCAGATTTTCAAACAGTGCACCATCATCCATTAACAATTTCTTCTTCAGATCCATAGGAACATCAATTGGTCTGCCACCCAGCAAACCTACTTCCTCTAACATATCAAGTACATATTTTCTCTAAGATAAACAAATACCCTGTTTAGATTAAGCCACCTTAATACCCAAGAAATATCTTAGTTTTTTCAAATCTTTAGTATAAAACCGGTCTAGCAAGGTGGTTTTTACTTTGGCAATCCCGTTAGAATTATTTTCACTAATAACAATATCATCTAAATAAACCACCAATAGTACATATCTGGCATCCATCGGTATATGAAACACAGAATGATCTGTCTGACATCGAAGAAGTCCAAACTCTAAAATTGCATCTGAAAATTTACTAAATTAAGCCCTTGGTGACTACTTTAAACCATACCAAGATTTCTTTAATCGACATACACTCTTACCATATTCTCCCTGCGCAGTAAATCGAGGTAGCTACTCCATGTATACCTCTTCAACCAAGTCACCATGTAGAAAGACATTTTTGACATTTAGCTAAAACAGTGACCAATTAAGATTAGTAGTCAAAAAAATCAAGATACAAAGAGAAGAAATTTTAGCAACTAGAAAGAAAATCTCCTCATAATCAATACCATAAGTCTGAGTAAAGCTCTTTGCAATAAAATGGACTTTGAGACACTCCACAGAACCATCTGGCTTAAATTTAACAGTGTATACCCAACGACAACCAATAGTTCGTTTACCAGTAGACAAAGGAACAAGTTCCCAAGTCCTATTATGATGTAAGGAATTCATCTCCTCCTCGATAGCTTTCCTCCAACCTGGATCAAACAACGCATCTTGTAAGTGCTTAGGGATAGAGATAGTAGATAAACAAGAGGAAAAACAAGAGAAGACAGGAGACAATACATTATATGAAACAAAATGAGCAATGGGATGATTAGTAACACACGAATGAGTACTTTTTTGAAGAGCAATAGGTACAGAGTCTAAATTACCTGATAAACCAAGATCTGGAGACGGCAAGGAAGATGGTACGGGCACCTCAGTCGATGGTCGAGAATGACAAGAGTATACACAAAGTGGTGAAGTTGATAGTAGCACAACAAGTAGTAGAATATCTGATGATGATGGAAGAAGTGGTGGTATAGGACACAACCCAAAGTCCAGATCCAAAGGTTGAGCAGGTGCCAGAAAATATGGAGCAAATTCCTCAAACCTGACATCAGCACTAGTAAAGTATCGACAAAGGGAAGGACTATAACAACGATACCCCTTATGTGTGCAGGAGTATCCAAGAAATACACATTTGGTAGCCCGTGGGTCAAGTTTATCAAACTCAGGACCCAAGTTGTGAACATAACAGAGACACCTAAAAATCTTAGGAGTTGAGAAAAATAAAGGCTTACTAGGAAAAATGACAAAATATGGGCTTTACCCATTCAACACAGACGATGACATTCGATTAATAAGTTAACAAGCTGTGAGAACAATATCACTCCAAAAATATTGGAGAACATTCATTTAGAATAACAGTGCACTGGTGACTTCCAACAAATGACGGTTTTTGCGTTCAGTAATATCATTCTGCGAAGAAGTGTAAGCACAAAAAGTTTAATGAATAATGCCAATTTTATTAAGCTAAGTTAAAAAATGATTAGATTCATATTCTTGAGCATTATCAGAACGTAAAATACATATACGACAACCATATTGAGTTTTTATTTCCTTACGAAAGGTTTCAAATATAGAGAATAATTCAGAACGAGATTTCATCAGAAACAACTAAATCACACGAGAATAATTATTCACAAATTACACAAAATAAGAATATTTATTGGATGAAATATTCTTTATTAGACTTCATATATCAAAATGTACTAACTCAAAGATTAGACACACTATTATTGACTCTCAACTAAAAGGACACACGGTGATGCTTACTAAGTTGACAATTTTCACAAGACACAGACGACACATAATTAAGACTGGGAACATGGCGTTTCAAATTTTAGAGAGAGGGATGTCTACGACGACAGTGCCATTGAAAATGAGACGAGGTTTGTAGAGCTCGAGTAGGTGAATCAAGGTCAGTAATATAGGCCATCAACCTCATTCTTCGTGCCAATCTTCTTCTTCGTCTTAAGATCTTGAAATACACAATAAAAGGGATGTTATGGAACAATTAAAAGAACGGGTAATCTTGCTAATGGAAAGTAAAATAAAAGAAAACTAATGAACAAATAACACGGAGGATAGGGGCATATCAACACTCAAGTGAGTAGTCCTCAAACTTGAAATTTTAGAACAAGTACCATTGATAAGAGTAATACCGTGTGTAAAAGTAATAGACTAATAAGTAGAAAAGACACCAAACGCACCAGTCATGTGGTCAGAAGCACTAAAGTCTATGATCCAAGGACTGTGAATAGAGGACAAGCAAGTGGAAGCGGTACATAACTAGGCAAAAGTAGCAATGGAGGAAGACGAAACAACCTGTTGCTGGGATAGGAACTAAACATACTTCTCTCGTGTAATAGTAATTGATCCAGAATCAAGTGGTGCTGACCGAGGTATAAAAGCAACACCCGAGGTGTCATCTTGATAGTAGACCAGATTTGCAGCATTGGAAGGCTTTCAATGTAAATTCCAACAAAAATCAATAGTGTGCCCTCCACGACCACAGTGAATATAGGAACGAGATCCACTACGGCCTCCACAACCACTGCGATTACCACGTCCACCTCAGTGACTATCACTGTGGCTACTAGGAACCACCAGAGCTGAACGATCAGTTGAAATACCATGATCAATGCCTAAAGGACTAATAGACAAAGTAACACGTTGTAAGCGGGAGAAAAACTTCAAGTAGAGAGGGAAGACTAGAGCTACCCAAAATCTGAGAGTGAATAGACTCATATTTAGGTTTCAAACCTACCAGAAACCGAACAATATTCAAATTTTCATGTTGCTTCTGCCAAATCGCTGCATTAGTAGTGAACGGATGGTAGAACTTTAATTCCTCACAAACTCTCCGAACATGAGAGTAATAATCCTTAAGACTCAAAGTACCCCGCTCAAGACGAAAATACTACTTGCACATCTCATAAGTACGGGTAAAATTACCTATATCCGAATACATAGTGGTCAAGTGATCCCATATGTCTTTGGCAGTATCAAGATAAAGCAGAGTAGAGCTAATACTGGGCTCAATACTATTCAACAATAAAGAGATAATGTGAGCATCTTCTTGTTCTCACTGATCATATATAGGAGTATCCTCCTTGGGTTTGGGATCCACCAAATATTTCTTAAATCCTTTACCTCTAAAAAAGATTTGAATAGATCATGACCATAAAATATAATTGGTCCTATTGAGTTTAACAGAAGTCATGGGACCATTAAAAAGAAACGCGGGAGTAGAGATGGGTGGCAATGATGAAGTAAGAAAGGTAGCATCTTGCTTAGGTTCCATAATAGTGTGGCAAATAGTAAAGGGGACTTACTAGACAATTGAACCAAGCAAGAGAAATCCACCAGACCGATGAACCAAACAAGGAGAGCTCGTTGGACTGCTAAACCAAATAAAAAAAGTCTATTGGACCGCTGAACCGGACCAGAAAAGGCCACTGGACCGCTAAACCGAACAAGGGAGGGTCACTGGAACACTGAACCGAATAAAAAACAGATGGAACCGGTCTAAAACTGATTGAACTGGTGCAAACTCACTGACCCTGGGACTAAACCGGGGTTGAACCAGACTTGAACCAGTCTGGTTTGAAGGCTAATGGATCTGGGTGAGTCTCCTAGATCTGGGTTTGGATCCAGGTATGGATCTAGACTTGGATATGGATTTGGGTTGGGCTGGGATCAGGATTTAGATCTATTACCCAAACTCGTAACCGACACAGTTCGAGTGGGTCGCCTTCTTCACCAACCAAACCCTAATGCTCCTTTAACGTCGACGGCGATAAGCAAAACACTAACCAGCAGCCATATAACAGAACCAAAAGCCTCCAACGTCAACCACACTAGTTGACGGCGCCAAAAACAACCAGCAACTACACCAACGAAGTCACCAATGTTGATGACCAACAATCACAAACATCAGCCACCACCACGAAATAGAACCTGAAATCACCAACGTCGACGAGACTGCGATGAACAGCAACTACACAACCAGTGACGACCTCTCACAGATCACTTGTATTTATAGTTAACCAGTAATAATACAAAAGACGTATACACCCTATAATATTTATATTTAATACCCTAATACTCTTAACAAACCCTATTTCTAGTAAAACGACGTCGATTTGCTAAAAGAGGCCTACCCCAAATATAAACTTGCGGAGAGAGTATCTCCTATTCGTGTCTCTGCCTCTCAAGCGATTGTTCAAGCATATGTGAACATCACACAAAGACGTCTCCTTCACTTCAGGTATGCTTCTTCTTTTCTTCTTCAAAAACAGCTACCAAATTTAATATGCCCTCCTCCTCCTCTAATACATGCTCTATTTTTTGTTTTTATCACATTAATTTTTTAATTGAATGTGGGAAGTAATTTTTTAAATTTACATGTTCGAATTAGTATATTCTTTTCCTATTTTAATTTAAAGACAATAGCTATTTGTTGGTTAAAAATTATGCATCTTTCACCGTGGCCATTTTGAGAGAAAGATTTATTATGCATTAAGAATAAAGTTACTATAATCAAACTCAAGTGTAGCTTTATAAAGATTTATAAAGGTTAGCATCTTTCCATTTAGAAAACGTAATCATGTCAATATCATCCATGGTTCAAAGTATCGATCGATATTGATACGAGTTGGCTGAGTCGTATCCATCTCGTCACCTCTGGAGACAATACCATTACACCATACGTATAAATCTCGAATCTCGCACAACTCGTCCGAGTTGTATCTGAGTCATTTCCGAGTCGTCGAAATATTGCCACCAAATTGTCTGATACAATTCTATGATGCCGTAATATGACCTGAATTTCTCATCATGTTCAATATTTTCTTTTAAGTCGTATCACCTGATACTGCGCCGTAATGCAGCGACTAATATATCTCAGAACTCTTCGAGCTGATGGCCGATACCGCGACCTTGAACCATGACCATGATTCAAAGTATCGACCGATACCGATACGAGTTAGTCGAGTCGTATCCATTTCGGCACCTTCGGAGACGATACCGTTACAAGATACTTATCAACTCTGAGTCTCGCATAATTTGGCTAAGGTGTCCGAGTTGTATTCAAGTCAATTCCTATTCGCTGAAATATCGTCACCAAAGTAACCGATACAGTTTGATGATGCCGTGATATGACTTGAATTTCTTGTCACGTTCAACATTTTTTTTTAAGTCGTATCGCCCGACAGTAGATTTTTGTTTGAATTAATGCAAGACTACTTTTTGTTTTTTCTTGGAATATGTAGGCCACTCCAAATTTTGCTGACAACTAATGTAGTGCTATTTTACCTATGTGAAGCTGCACTGAGTGCTTTGAGAGTTTATATTGTACTATATACACTAACTTTACATAACCTGCACCATAGGCAACACCTTGCTCCTTGACCAGAATGAAACAAATTTTGCTGGTTAACATACTGAATGCATACCAATCCTTTAGAGTGTTAATATTTGATTACACTCATCAAACAAAAATGCATTAAAAGTAAAGGATGCATAAAGTTAAATGCCTCCACCTAGCAGAAGAGGTGGTGAACTAATTGTTGGAGTTGTAGTCTAGTTTATTAGGGTTTTTTCGGTGTGTTTGTGGGTGTCGGTGGAATTTTGGGTGAGAAGCTGCTGGTGATTTTGGTTTGTTTCCGGCTGTTGGTGGGCTGGGCAGTGGTTATCGATGGGCTGGTTGGGTGAGGATGGGCAGTGGGTTGCTCAAGTTGGCTGTCGCTGATCTGGGGCAGTCAAGGTGTGGTGGTAGTCTGGTGGCTGGTGGAGTTTGGAGGAGGGGCTAGGGTTAGGGTTAGGGTTGGCGGCTAGGGGTGGGCAAGAGGCTAGGGTTTTCACTCTAATACCAACTTGATATATTTGTTAGTTAAAAGGGATACAAACTCAGTGTAGACCCCGTATATATAGTCAAACAATAATATAAAATGACCTGAACATCTCTCTGGTCTAAGCAAGACACAAAAGTCATAGTAAGGGTAAAAAGGAAAAAAAAACCCTAATAAACTAGACTACAACTCCAACACTAATCGAGTTCGCTGCATAACACAACTCAATGGCAAGTGCATCACCATGAAGATGTGTATAAGTTGAAGCAGTAGCCCTGTGATAAATATACCCCCTTGAGAAACCTCAAGCTGTTGGTTGAGAGAGAGATGTCAACTTTGATGAGGTTTTGATTCAAATTGAATTGCATTGGATGGATAAGTTAGGTTTTTGGTTGGATCAACATATGGAGGAGAGAGAGAGAGAGAGAGAGAGAATGGTGTGTGGGTGTGTTGTGTGTGCATTGTGCATGAGTGTGTGGATGAGTGTGAGAGAGAAGAGGTCAAAGAGGAAGAAGATGAGGTCATTTGGTTATAGGTATAATTTTGTTTAGTTAGGGAATAATGATTAACTTTGGCCAAATAAAGAATTAAGGTTATTTGGATGCAAGGTAAATAACTCATTTTCTAATGGTTCCAATTTAGTCCAAAACCAAATGGGATTGCATATACATTTCCAAAATATATGTAGGTAATTTTGGACTGAATCAAACTACAAGGGGGTAATTCATACCCTAAACCCTAAACCCTATTATTTATCCGAATCCTTCTCATTTATTGTGCATACATTTATCATTGTAGGTGGCAGTGAGATTGCATCTATTGTAATTAATGAAAGTAAGGCAGAAGGAGAGGAAATAAGGAAGTTCCTGGAAGAACTTCGTGTTACATTTCCACAGGTTAGTGGGTTGTAAAGACCCTCATTTACTATATGTATTGCTCGCTTATCTGAGATTGTACTTGGGATCTCTTGGTGAGGCTCCATTTGAAGTCTCAGACATGGCGGTACTAATGTGGCCCCTTTCCCATGTTTTCTTCTAGATGTGCATTTGTGCATATCTTTTGCATATTTCATATTGTGGTACTGAAAAAACTTCATATTGGGAACCTCTTTAGGCTTTGCAGGTTGTGAAAACAAGGCAAGTGACCTATTCTGTGCTGAATCATTTAATTGATTATCTCCATAATCTTGAGAAGGTTGGGTTGTTGGAGGAAAAAGAGATGAATCATCTAGAAGATGCTGTCCAGGTATCAGTGTGAAATATTATTTTTCTCACTTGTCTTATGGCCAAAACTTCTTAAATTTCTTTCCTAAGTCATAATTATATTGTTTTTGTATGCAGACCGACTTGAAAAGGCTATTACGGAATCCTCCTTAATTTATAAATTTGACTTACATCAAATGGATGTAAAAATCATATTTTTGAATGGTGTGGTGAATGAAGAAATATACATGGAACAACTTGAGGGCTTCGTGATGAAAGATCAAGAACAAAAAGTTTGTAAATTAGTTAAATCACTATATGCTCTTAAACAAGCACCTAAATAGTATCATGAAAAGTTTGATGAAATGGTTGAATCAAATAGTTCTAAAATTCATGAATCTGATAAGTATGTGTTTAGTAGATTTGTTAATGGAAAATGTGTGATAATATACTTATATGTAAATAACATGCTAATACTTGGTATTGATTTGGATAGGATTAATAATACTAAATGTTTCTTGTTTTCTAACTTCGATACGAAAGATATGGGTGTTGCAAGTGGTATCTTAGGAATTAGAATAATAAAATAAGATAACAATCTTATACTTTCTCAGTCACATTATATTGAGAAGATACTTAAGAAGTTTGATCATTTCGATTGAACACTTGTATGCACACTTTTCGAATCACAGATAAAGTTGTTTCAAAATAATGGTAGAGCAGTATCACAATTGTAATATGATAGAGTTGTTGATAGTTTAACGTATGTCATGATTTTGCATTTGTTATTAGGAAACTTAGTAGATACACAAATAGAATATTGAAACTTTGAGACATAATTATTCATTCAATATTTAATGATTTTAGATCAATGGGTCTTTGGTCCAATGATACTTCTTGCCTTATGAAGGTTTTGTCTTCTTGAGGTCAATGGTTCAAGCCTCTTCCTCCCCCTCCAAAGAAAAAAAAATAATATTTAATGATTTTAGACAAATAAATATATGGTGTTCATCTCCTCGCAGAGGAGAACATATTTAAACTTGGTCCCACTAATTACGAGGTGTTGGTTTCACTTTTAGTCAAGTCTCAAGTTGGTCAAATAATCTTGTTTAAAACTATTTTTTTCATCTGCTCAGCTAGGCTTACTTTAGCTCGGCTAGAGACATCAGTCCCTCCAAACTATCCTTTTTTATATGTTATTTATCACACGCCCTGTACAGTTGATACATTAGGGTCGAACGTACTTTGAACCCGTTCATTTAGCTTTTTATATGCGGTGTTGATATTACCACTTCAAGTAGCAATGGTGCTAAGTAATTTTATATTCCTTGGTAGATATTTCTTTTTGAGTTATGGAATGATATCAATGTTATTAAATATTTAATAAAAATATATTGATCAGTCAGTTTGCTACTTAGTATAGATATAAATGGAAAAGAGTAGGCATTACATATTCAAGGAAGGATCAGATAGCTTTATGAGCTGTTCATAAGTACCCCTAGGCCAATCTAAAGAATTTGTTCATCTTGATAACAAATCCAGAGTCTGTCCCAACATGGAATGCTTCAGATCTAGAACCTAAACTGGGGCCACGTCCACCTCTTGGTGCCTCAAAAAGCATAAGCAACAGCAAGATTCTCTCATTCTAATTAAATATTCAAAATAACAGTTTCACATATTGAGATTTTAATTGCAGTGAGAACTCAACAATTCTTAAATTTATGAACACTCGTTACAGTCCTATGCCAACAAAGTCATCCTCTTCAAGATTAAGAGAATCTGCATAGCCTTACTGAACCACACACACATATACACCTTTGAGGCCCAGTTTCTGGACAACAATCTTCTCATGTGGGACAACCTTAGGAACCAACAAGTATTGAAGTGTCATAAAAATAGTAACCTTGTGAAGAGATCTCATGGTTTTTATATAATGACCAATAACTGGGGTAAGCCCATCTTGTACATTGTCATAGAAGATGCCAAGCCCAGGAACTCTCTGAACATCTGTCTCAGATAACAGCACTTCTAGTCTGTGTAAATCTAACTTACGGGTAAACTCACACTCCATCTTTCTCTGCCTCCAGTAGAACCAGCCAAACATAATAAAAGCAAGAGGGAAATAATCCAGTCAAACACATTGCTTGATAACAGAAAAAGTGGCTGAAATCAGTGACTGACTTGCAACTATCGCTGCCAATATGGCTGTGATAAAGATAGGCCAATAAACTGTCTTCGGTATGAAATTGTGAAACCCATCATCATGATCATTTGGGTTTCTGATCGGGTAAGCCGTCTGCCCCGCATATGTCAGAACCAGTGATGGATACATAGTGAACACAAATGTTATCTATTGGGAAAAGGTGTTAGAAACCACTGCAAAAACAACGGACATATGGAAATCCAATGGATAGAAGGTTAAGTACACCTCCTGAATGGAACTCTTGTTGAAATGATCTAGATCAGCAAACAATCCTTCGGAACCTGAATAGAAGAGATGACATAAAATGTGAAACAGTAAATTAATTTTTTTTCCAATTTTCTTCTCTATTCAGAAAGTGTGTTTCCAAGAATATTGAGTGAGAGATGAGACGTGGTATGATAGGCAATGTCGCCCCATAGAGGATGGGGGCACCATCTCATAATCACCTCAGCACTGTGCCTAAATTTACTTTGGATACATAGTGAAAAGTAACGTTATATCGAAATGACCAAAGAAAACCAGATAAACGTCAATAGATTTTGCGAGAAGAATAACCATTGTGGCTTTTATAAGTTTCTCTCGGAGGTCATTTGTTAGATCATCCAACCCAAAACCAATTATCAATGAGTGGAGAGGTCCCTTCACATATAAACCAACCTTGGGTAATCCTAATCATATCAATGTGGGGTACAAGCTCTCTTTACTTCCTCTCTTATGTGAGACCCCGGCTTGCACGTGGGGCCAAAAAATAAACAGACAAACATGCATATGGAGAAATTCAAATAGGTAAAAGAATTGGCTCGCTAACCACCCAAGACCCAGATCTAATACCATGTTAGAGCATCAAACCTAAAATCAATTGACAATGAGTGGGGAGGCTGCTTAAACATATAACCCGGCCCTAAGTAATCATAATCATTCGATGTAAGATACAAGCTCGCTACAACTTAGAATAAGCTAATATCTGGCTGCACCTTCAACTCTAAAGCTGAATTAGGATCAACGTTGTATATATTCAGTCAAGTTGTACAAGAGTGTTCACGTCAATTTTCATCTCTAACTTGATAGGCCACAAATGAAGCTCACCTGTGATGCAAAGCACAGTACCTCCAAGCAACAGCCAACCTTCAATTCCATTTTTCCAGAAGAAGCGGAAGATGTAGTGCGGTATTATTGCCTTAAATATACTTGGGTAATGATGTATAATACTATAAATTCCAACAATCATAGTGGTGAGAGTCCACACAGTCATGATGTGGGAGAAAAGGAACCTGACTCGCGAGGTTCGAAACTTTTGTATCAAGAACAGAATAATGGCAGAGAGGCCTTCAACTAAAGCTGCAAGTTGAAAACCACAGCATTTGTCAGCACAATGAGACAAGTTTGAAAGAATGCAATACCATTATACCACGTAATCCATAGACAACCAAAATGAAAGATCAATCAATTTAGTCAATTGACAACATCTAGTCTTACATAGGACGTTGAAGTTCAGTTGCTACTAAATTTTTTTTCAATCTAGTTTACTCTTAACCAAAGATCAAAATTTCGTTTCAATTTATTGTTTCGGTCACCTAGGAAACAAAAATATTTCGATGTGTTTCAGAAACGTTTCGATCCGTTTAAGAAATATAATGAAAAAAATAAAAAATTTAAGAATTATTTTTCTAAAACATTAATTTAAATATATCAAAATATCTTGAAATACCTTGAAATATTCTAAAACAATTGTGCAAATGCATTGAAATATTATAATACATCTCGAAACATTATGAAATACCTCAAAATATTAGAATTTCGATTCTATCATTGATTCGTTTCGGTCTCCTTGAAAACAGAAATGTTTCAGACGTTTCGACCGTTTCGAAACGATATTTTGATCCTTACTCTTAACCTTGGCACTATCTATTGCGCCATGCTTATATAATTATAAGCTATTCCAAAGGCATTTGCATATCCCGTAAAAAAATAAGGAAAAGTATGTTTCTCGTGGCAGTTTTAAGCAAGCTTAGTATGTTAATTGATAGAATAGATATCTGCATTGTTTCTGTTTACAACTCTTTGGGTGTTCAAAATGGTTCAAAGTTGTGGTATCAACTATCAATTCAGAGCACTTTGAGGCAAATCGATCGTAATATCGGGCGATACAACTTAAAAGAAGAAGTTGAACATAGGGAGAGATTTATGGTATCGGTCGATTCAGTAACTATAACTCGGGGACTCGGGGTTGATTTGGAGACAACTCAGTCGAGTCGTGCGAGACTCGAAGTTTATACATGACTTGCAACGATATTGAATATCAGCTCAAAACGTGAAAAGTTGGATACAACTCAGTTGACTTGTATCGGTACTGATCAATACTTCAAATCAAGGCCTCCTGATTCCTCAAGAACCTGAGTTTCAGCATAAGGGAATTGAGGTAGGGGTATGCCTCTTTGCGACAATTAAAACTTCAAATTTCAACTTCTTGTTCACACTATTTAAAAAGCAAAACAATGCCAGCCAACAAAACCCATAAAATTATGTCAACAAAAATGGCCAAAACAATTATATTACCATCAATGTCGATCACTAGTTCTTGCAATTTTAAGGATGTGGTGTCTTGAAAAGATGCCAAGTCAATTAGAGATTATGGCATACGAAGGACCAGCAGGATTTTTGGACCATACCTTGAATTATAGGATTCTGAACCAATATTTACACTTGCTGACTGAAGGAAAATGAACTCTTATGAACAGAAAAAATATTCACTACGAAAAAAGTCCAAACACCGGTTGCAGCAAAATGTAGAACCAGTTCCATGCAAAACACCTGAGATTGCAGGAGTAAGTATACTATCACCAATTAGCATGCACATGCCTAGTATTGCATTAAAAATGATACTGTTGCAAAATTTAAAATTTAAACCAACTGATTGATCCTTAAAATAAACAGAAAAATCAAATCTTTCATTAAATTAGGAGATTTTTAATGCATACATATAATCTGAAAAAAAAAATATCAGTTTTCAAAAATAAATCGCATGAATTAAGAGAGGACAAAAATGTCAAAGGAAAATCCTAAAATTTCAAATTATGTTTTATGGAGTAAATAAAAAAAAATAGCACTTCGAAAATAAAAAAATAAGATAATAATATGAGAGAGAGAGAGAGTATAAGATGGATATAAAGAGAGTTAGATGAGCGATAGGAGTCTTAGAAAAAGTTGGCATGAGAATCATCAGATCAATAATCGTCAAGCGATCTGAGCCATGATCTGAGCGGTTCAAATTGTTTCGAAATAAAAAAAAAAAGGTATCATCCAACGACCAACAATATTTCAAACTTTTTCAAGCTATTGACGTCTTAGATCGTTTCGATCTGACGTACTACATTAGCTCTTGAAAAAAATTTCCCGCTCAAAACTTTTAGTTTCTAAAACTAACATCCCTAAATTTAATTCCCCAACTCAATCAAATCCGGCAATAAAGAGCATCTCCAACCATGACTCAACTTTAGACTCAAATTTAAATTTGAGTCTAAATGGTCTAAAAAGCTTCTCCAACCTTGAACCTAAACTTATATCGAATTAAAAAAAAACTTTTTTTTAACTCAAATTGACTGTGACCTAAATGTTATACCAAATTTTCAACGGTACCCTATCCAAACCTAAAAGAATTAATATTGTAGACTACCTCTCCCAGCCTCTCTTCAAAGCTTTTTTCATCGCCAACGGCAACCGAATCAATCGTCAGTCCTTTGAAGACAAAAAAACTGTTGGTAAGTTATTGCTACACTGATATTTAATCACTGGTATTCAGTATTTAATCACCGGGTGACTCGTAGTAATCACGGATATTTAATCACTGTTATTTAATAACTTTTTAATCATTGGTATTTAATCAATCGTCGGTTATTTCAAAGCTTTCTCGTGATTGGTATTTAATCAATCACTTGTATTTCTTTTAGGTTTGGTTTCAAGTTATGATTTAATGTTCATTGGTTTTTAGTGAAGTTATATTAATTTTACTTTTTTTTAGAATTACCATGATTATGCTTATGAATAATGGATATTGCTTCTCCACTTTGATTTTTTGGATGAATCTTTGAACAATTATGTCATATTTATCGCAAGAAATTTTGTGCTTTGCATGTGCTCTTGATTTTGTGCTTTGCATGTGCTCTTGATTTTTGTACTTTGCATGTGCTATTGATTTTTATAATTTCCTATATCCTTGTTTTTATTCTTTTTTTCTTCAAAGTTCAGGAATAATAGATGATCATGAAATATTCGAGAATTCTCCAAGCTTAGAGGAATTTCATGGAATAGAAATTGTTTCACAAAATGATCGTGCTCGTGGTAAAGCTTTTAGTATATTGGAAGATGAAGCAGTGTGTCAAGCTTGGTTGGCCGTTTCCCAAAATCCAATTACAGGAAATTCCCAAAACAAGACGGTATTCTGGAATTGTGTTCATGCGTATTTCTATTCCCAACCAAATAGAACCAACATTTCTTTGTGTCACCGCTGGTCTTTGATTCAAAAGGCGGTTAATAAGTTTTCTAGAACAAGTACAAATGAGACAACAAAATGGGGTAGGGGAAGTAGACAAGGTATGTGTTTGTATACTAACAATTAATTACAATTTATCATTTAAGAATTTGATATTTATTATTTTTATTTTCAGATTAATGAGGCTAAATGCATGTGCCATGTTTTTCAAAAAAAGCACTTCACATTCGATTCTTGTTGGGAAATATTGCGGCATAATTGAAAGTGGGATGAACTTAGAACACAGTTCAAGAAACCTACAGTCCATACATCATCACTTTCAAATCTTACTACTCCAGCATCTGTTGACTCTGATATAGAAATAAAAATATCAAAAGAGAGACTGAAACGACAAGTGGTAGAAAGGCTATGAAAGAATCACAAAGGAAGAAGGTGGCTCATGATGCTAGGTTTGATGACATAGTAGCCAACCAAACTAAAATTTTTGAAATGTTAGCTAGTATGTTTTCCCAATCTATTGAACGAGATGAGCAAAAGGCTATAGATCGTGAGATGAAGGCTAAGAATAGAGAGGTCCAACTACAAAAGTTAGCAATGATGAATGGAAGAGAACAGAGAAGTGAGGATAACAAAATCATGTCAATGGACATGTCCAATTTAACTCCTATGCAGAAGTCCTACTATGAAGATCTTCAAAGACAGATAGTTGCTCAGAATATAGACAATGGGTTTTAATTTATTGCTTGGAGTTCACTATTGTTTTTGATCTTGAGAGAATGTTATTTCATTCATTTCACTTAGTGTGCCACATGTTTTTGCTACATACTTGATATTGGTGTTATGCTTTTAAGTTAGTGTTGTGGGTTTTTGCTTGAAATGGTGAGACTACTTGAATATGTTTGTTTTTTAGATTTCATGTATGCACAGGTCATGCATGATTTTAGTTTTAATAAACATATTGATTAACCCAGTTCATGACTAGGTGATGTTGGGCTTATCAACATACTATTTGGCCCATCCATAATGATTGATTAGAGAGAAATAAAACCATACAGAAGACATAAAATATTAGAAATACAATATCAAAATATTTTATTCAAGGAAATTTGAATTAACAATAACCGGGTACGACATTTATCTCATGCCAAAAGTCACATCTCTCCATGACGTTGCCATAGATGCTCAATTAAGTCATTCTGGAGGGCATGATAAGCATTTTTATCTCTAATTCTTGCATGACGAGCAATGAAGGACTCAAAGTCATTGTTAAACTCTCGGGAAACTTCAATTGACGTGTCATGTGGTGATGTTTCATATTCGAAATCGTCATAGTTATCTCGCTCATCTTCAACAAGCATCTTATGCAAAATAATATATGTCTTCATGATATCCCCAAGTGTTTCGGGATCCCAAAACCGCGTTGCTCCACGTACAATTGCAAATCAAGATTGTAGAACCCCAAATGTCCGCTCCACATCTTTTCTCGTTGACTCCTGCATCATAGCAAAATGTTGTTTCTTGGCTCCTTGTGGAGAAGAAATTGTATGAACCAATGTCGCCCATGAAGGATATATACCATCAGCAAGATAATACCCCATATTGTAGGTATGCCCATTAATAGAGTAATTGGGGGAGGGGCTCGCCCTTGGACAAGTTCAAAAAATAAATGAGAACGATCTAAGACATTGAGATCGTTGTGAGATCCTGGCATTCCAAAAAAGGCATGTCAAATCCATAAGTCATAAGAAGCTATGACTTCTAGAATTATAGTAGGTTTTTTTACATGACCACAATACTGACCTTGCCAAGTAATCGGACAATTCTTCCATTCCCAGTGCATGCAATCTAAGCTTCCCAACATTCCGGGAAACCCACGAGCCTCCCTAACAGCAAGTAGCCTAGCAATATCATCTTCCTTTGGAGATCTGAGGTACTCATTTCCAAAAACTTCAATAACTAATCGACAAAAATGTTTAAAACTTAATATTGCAGTGCTTTCCCCAATTTCGTACATCTTCATCCACAGCATCCGCCAGCATTTCATAGGCAAGTATTCTAATTGAGGAAGTCATCTTTTGAAGAGAAGACAATTCAAGAACACGACAAGCATCTATTTTTTGAACAAAAAAAGGATCATGTGCTTCAATACCATTGAGAATACGAATAAATAGACCGCGTGTCATTCGAAATCGTCGCCGAAATGTTGAAAGGGGATAAACTAGATTTTCAGCAAAATAATCTAAGAATAGCCGATCATGACCCTTTTGTCTATCACGATAAATGACTCTTTGACCTAGAACAGAACCACCATGTTTGTTGGGTTGTTCTAACTCCTCTCTTAAGATTTCTAACATTGTGGCATTATTTATCTCATAAAAAGCCACAATTGAAGAAATTTCTTCATCACTATCATCATCGGATGAAGAAAAGGAAGATGAAAAGGAATTGAGCAAAAGATACTTTGAAGGATTCATTTCTATGAGAATGTTGAAGAAGGGAATGAATGATGTAGGTTATTTAGAGAATATTTTGGTTGTAATTTAATTTGGAGGGAAGAATAAAATGAGGAGGGAATGAATTTTTAGAGGGAATGAAATCTTGAGAGTGATAGAGGTTTTGGAGGGAATGAGATAGAAATGAGAGAGAATTACATGTTTTGGTGGAAAAAAAATAATAAAAATGAGTTTTAGGATAATAAGAGAATTTCTTAAAAGAATTAAGTAAATATTTGAGTTTACTCATTGGAGTACTTCATACCAAATCAAGCTTTTGACTCAAATTTAGACTCAAATTTGAGTCTAAATTTGAATCATGGTTGGAGATGTTCTAAGCGATCTCTCATTCATCAATTTTGTCTCTCTCTCCCCTAAAATACAGATTACAACTCTTATCATTATTTCCTTAATTTTGTTTCCTATGTTAAGAGATTACTTTTTATACTGAGACATTGATTGTCTCTCACATTTTCATCTGTCATGATGAGACACATGTCTCCCCAAAATTATATCATAATGCAACTGCTTTTCATTTTTACTGTTCATATCACACACACATCTTTACTGTACATATATATAGTACAAAGATCGAAAACATATTATATCTACATGTTATATCTAGGAAAAATTTCATCCAAAACACCATGTAGTTGAGTCTAAATTCAATGAAAACTCTCTATAACAATAACTTTTGTCTTTATCAGTGGATAAAATAATGATTTAACTAAATATTTTATGAAAATACTAAAATTCCCTTTAATATGTAAATAGACTAAAATGTCATCAATTCTTTCTCTATTATATATGCGCTAGCCTGCCAACAGATGTAATTTCAATCATTATATTATTCCAATGAATTTTTTAGTTTAAAACATTGTATTATAACTTTGTTTTAATATTAGTCATCATATTATTACTCATTTGGTTACATAATCAAGTTTTTATAATTTTTATATTTTTTTAACATAATAATTTTTATAGTTAAAAATAATTTTTTTATAATAAAAATTACAATTGATAAATTCAATGTCAAAATCTCAGCCATTTCTAATTCTTCTACTATCATCTGTCCTCCACAACGTCGCCTGATCGCTTCTCACACATCATATTTCATATATAAAATTTAAAATTATTTGAGAAAATTTAAAATTATTTGAGAAAATTTAATATTAATTGAATAAATTTAATCTTAATTTTGATAAATTTAAATATTAATTTGATTGAATTTAATGTTAATTGAATAAATTTGAATGTTGTTTTAATAAAATTGAATGTTCCTTTGGTGTTAAATTAAAAAAATGATATTAATTTGATAAGGTTAAATTTTAAATTAATGAAATTTAATATTCTATTTAATAAATTAAATAGTTTAATTTAATAAAATTGAATGTCAATTTAATGTTGATTTGATAAAAATAAATAATAACTTAATATTAAATTAAAGAAATAATATTAATTTGATAAAATGAAATATTAAATTAATATAACTAAATGCTAATTTGATAAAATTAAATATCAATTTTGTGTTGATTTGATGAGATGAAATGTTAAATTAGTTTAAATTAAATAAAGAAAATTAATTTGATAAAATTGAATATTAAATTGATCAAAATAAAGACTAATATAATAGAACTAAAAGGGAGTGCAATGAAATTTCAGAATCAAGAGAGGGTGTTATTAAAGTTAGGTATATTTAAAGGGAGTGTTATTAAATTTAGATATATTTATAAGGAGTATGAATAAAATTTACCCTATAAAATACTCGAAGATAATTCTATAAATCAACTATCGCCATTAACTGTGTAGCCCGATAATCACTAACAGAGAGTGATAGTGAAATTTCAAAATCAAAAAGAGGTGTCTTTAAATTTAAACCTAACTATAGGGGATCTAGATGAAATTTTCTCTTATATCTATACAAATCTATATAATAAAACACATAGGAAGTTGAATTTTATCCCCTATACATTCTCCCCCAAAAATCATCACATCACTCATTTTTATTACATGATCAATTATTTAATATTTGATTAATTTTTAATTTAACATAATTTTTATTTTAGATATTATCCATACACGATAGTATAGATCTGTTAAAGAAATTTATCAAATTACATATTTTGAGAAAATTTTGTTAATATTTTCAAGAAAATAATGAATAAAAATAAATTTTGAATGATTCAATCAAATAAATAAAGGAAAGAAAAAATACTATTTAATATAGTAATATCAATTTTTTAGAACTTGAATTTTTTGTTCTATCGTACCTTCAGGCACGGATTATATCTAATATATAATAAAATACAACAGCTTTGAATTTTAGAGATAAAAAATAATTTAGATCGTTTCACAACTAAAAAAGACATATTTCGACGAACGTTATTATCTCAAATTATTTTGAGTTATTAATATCTCAAATCATTTTAAAAGTTTTAATCCAATGCACCAGGTTGATTGTTAAAATTTTTATACCGCAATTAAATTTCATTTTTCAAATCCCATCAATCGCATTAAATTTACTTCCTAATTTTTCATTCCCGAATCCCATTAATCACGTTAACTTTACGTCCCAACCCCACTCAACACCCTAATCCCCTCCCTTTCCCTGTTTTCTATTTCCATCTGTCCCTCCAGGTTCCCCTGGGCAATCCCACCGGCAAATCTCTCTCTCTCTCTCTCTCTCTCTCTCTCTCTCTCTCTCTCACACACACACACACACACACACACACGCACACACTAACACCCACAGGCACCACCAGCGCAGCCCACAACCCTTTCATCTAGCCCCCCACCGTCATAACGAAAGCCCATTCTCTTTCCTTTCTCTGACAATTTGCCTCCTCCCCTTCTCTCTGGCGTCCAACTCCGGCGACCCACATATTCCGGCGATCAGCGACATTTGAAAAACCTCTAAGTTTGGTCTGTCTCCCCTCTTTCTTCTTCACTTTTTCTTCTGCTGCAACATACACACACAGCACACAAGCACACACACACACAACACTCTCACACCACACCCGCAACACACACGTACAGAGTCACACATACACAGATTCACTCACACAGACATTCACATACACAGATTCACACACGCACATTTTTCATGTACACCCACGCACACAATTGGATATTTGGGCAACACAGGGCACAAACACTTCACAGATTCATAATCACACACGCTATCATTTAAAGGTATTTGTGTATTTTGATTTTTTTGAATTGATTTATTGATTAAATATTAGA